TACGTTTCAGCCCATGGTGAGCTTCACAATTAAATGTCACATACAATAGCAGAAGGAATGCAAAACATATTTCTAAGCCTCTGAACAAGAAGATCTGATTCGCAGGAAACAAAAAAAACACGAGTGACTCAAGGGACTGCGACACGTCTGACGCTGCCCTGGAATAATCACGCCGAACCAGAGGAAAACTTTCTACCCTGCTTCTGCTCTTCAGCTGAGCTCGTATTTGTGTTTCCAATATTAAGAGCCATTTTTATACTAACTGTCTGCAGCAGCAGGGAATAGGAAAACTAACACAGTCTTTACCTCTTACGAAGGCCGATACTGATACCATGTGTTTGCTTCTTCAAAAAAACGTCATCTGTACAAGGCGATGGGGCAAACGGACAAACTCTTGCCTCCTCTCCGCACCCCTCACGGAGCAACCTTACAACTCAACTTTTGGATCCCCTACGTTTTTTACGTTTTGCCCCCCCAGAAGCGAATTTCACAGCCACACAGACCACCGCGTTTAATTAAGCTTTCAAAAGTCTTCTGACAACGCCGACAATTGCGAGACACTTCTGCAGCTCAATCACGCAATCATTGTGACAGTTCTGTTTACAATTTCTCTTAGAAAGAGTTTCTCTGACACTGTACTTTGACAAAACATCCAAGCTGCCAGTTCACAACCTTTCTCTGTCTTATTTACAAATACAGCTTGCACGCAGGACTCCAGATCTCACGAGCGCGAGCCTCTGGAGAGCACCCTCCCTATTTCTCCTGCGTGTCACTGTTTCACCCAGCCCACTTCGACCTGCCAGGTGCCTCTGCACGGAAGAAAGTGGACGAAATGTGAGTTTTTTTAATTTTTTTCCAGGAATGTAATTTCAGCTTTCATCTCAGTGTCCAGATGCAATGCTAACTATTGAACGCAGATGTCACTAATTTTCATCTGGAACTGAACAAAATAATACAGAATCGCAGTTTACGACCCGCAGAATTATAATGGCAACTGCTAATAACGCTGCACGAAAATTTCTGTGGCATACAGACTTCGACCAGCGTCCAAGAAATTACCTCCTGGGAACTGCAACGCTCAAACGTACTTGGTCCAAAATTTAGTACCAACTTGCGTCCGTTCTCCCTTCGATTATTAGAGACAGAGCTAGTTATTACTTTGGTTTTTTTCCCCCCCACCCATGTGTTATATCTGAACACAACAAGCAAATTGAGAATAAAGGACTCAGGCACTAAAAATGACCTCCCCTCCTCCTGCCTCCTCTCTTGGTACAGTAAGCATGGCATTCACAGACACCCAGGCACAGCGACGGACGGGCATGCACGCAGCACTCCAGCGTCCAGCTGAATCCAGGCAGCACTGCAGAGCTCTCTTCACCCCCAAAATAACCTTTCACTAATTCCCCCAGATTTATACATTCAACAAACAAAACACCAAAACCCGACACCGGCGGACTATAAATATTTCTTCAGCCTTTTCAATAAGCGAACAGCAATTTTGCATTCACTGATCTCCAGATACTTCAGTTAATATTTCCCCCTATTGTAAAATATGAGGCTGGAGAACTAAACCCCTGCCGTAGCACTCACTGCAAATCACAGGCGGCTGGTATCTGGTGCTGAGTGTTTGACATACATATTGATGAAAGCTGCCTCATTGGACCCACACAACATATCCTATTAATTTTCAGTTAAATTTATGACATTTCAGCTACAGCGCTGGATCAGCATCACTCAAAATTTTATATCAAGTCAAAGCTACACGCACGCATACACCCACACAGAAGAGACAGGTATGCACGCCTGTGCGTGCATGCATCTTACATATACTACCCAGGTTGCACACGTGTATGTGAGCTACTGTAACCACTCCTGCCTTTGGAAAACGGTGAGAATAAAGACAAGCCTATCGAAGCTTAAAACCGACATCCTTTTTCCCTCCTGTTTGCATGAGTCGGTGCCTTGTTCCTTGTCTTTAGATGCACTGATCCTTAACCGTTGCTTATCTTAGGACGATCTTTTACTGTAACACAGCAACTTCTTACCCACAAAACGGCACACAGAGCATAGGCTGTACCCACAGCCAGCCCACAGCACCTCTGTCAGCCTAACAGCTGATCGGCTCCAGTTTTACACTGCTATTACAGACCTATTTTCTGGACTCTTACCAGAAAGAATCAGCCCCCTCAACTCCTGTTTATTTTTCTAAGGGTAGACTCTTTCCTTTTTTTTTTTTTTTTTTTTTTTTTTTTTAAATCACATATTCAGCTATATTTCTGCATTATTATGAGCAGCATTTCAGTCTGCTCTCGCAAAGCAACGCAGCCGTAAAACACTGGAGCTGGGAGCTGCCCGAGCTGCGCTCCAGGGGCCTTCCAAAACGCCAAACTCCACAACTTACTCAGACGCTCCTACTGCTAATTTTCTGCCGGGCAGGAGCTATCACAGCTCCAGCCAGGGACACCCTTCTCTGCGGCATGTAGCTCAAGTAAAAAGTGAAATTAAAAACCCGGGGTGGGCGGGGGGACAGCAGGAGGCTCCCCGGCTCGCGGGGCCAGGCAGCTCCTTTCCCCCTCCGAAAAGGCCAGCCGACCTGAGGCTCGGCGCAAACCCGACGGCTCCGGCCCCGGCT